CGGGCTCTTTTTTTTTTTTTCTTCTCCGGAGTGTCCGTTGTTGCCACGCATTTTATATTTATTATTATTATGAAAAAGGCGCCCGGTAGTCGAGTGGTTAGCACGTTGACTTCACAGTGCAGAGGTACCAGGTTCAATTCCGGCCGCGGCCTTCCTGTGTGGAGTTTGCATGTTCTCCCTGTGCTTGCGTGGGTTTTATCCGGGTCCTCCGATTTCCTTCGAAAACATGCATGGCAGCTCTGATGGAACACTCAAAACTGTCCCTAGGTGTGAGTGTGGGCGCGAATGTTTGTTCGTTTTTGTGTGCCCTGCCATTGGCTGGCAACCAGTTCAGGGTGTCCCCCGCCTACTGCCTGAAGACAGCTGGGATCGGCTCCAGCACCCCCAGTGACCTTAGTGAGGATCAAGCGGTTTGTAAAATGAATGAATATTATTACAAAACAGGGTGGCATGGTCATCTACTGGTTAGCACGTCCACCTCACAGTGCAGAGGTGGATTCTGGCTCCGGCCTTCCTGTGTGGAGTTTTCAGTTTCTCCCCATGCCTGCGGGGGTTTTGTTTGGGTACTCTGGTTTCCTCCCACATTCCAAAAACATGGACGGTAAGTTGATTGAATGATCTAAATTGTCCTTAGGTCTGATTGCAAATGTCAATAGTTGTTCGTCTTTGTATGCCCTGTGATTGGTTGGCAAGTTCAAGGTGTACCCCACCTACTGCATGAAGACGGCTCGGACAGGCTCCAGCACACCCGCAACCCTCATCTTGACTGACTTAATATGTTGTCGCCAATTTCCCAGAGAGGCACAGTTTGCATCCAGAAAGTGCAAGATATGGGAGGCGGCCAGCTGTGGGCTATGGGAGATATTAGAGCCATTCAATCTCACTGCCTGGGCGCAATGGCGGCCACACAGGTGGAAATGCAAGTGGGAACTACTGCATTAGTTGATCATGCTCCATTTTCTGGAACAGGTCACTGCGGTGCGTTTGCAGACGCACTGAGATCCCGTTATCAGACTATGTTGGGTCGTCTATAACAATCAGCGTTCGAGTTGTTACCTGAAGTATGTCCAACTACTTACAATATTTTCCACACTATAAGACACACCTCAAAGCATTCAATTTTCCCAAAAGCTGACAGTGCGCCCTATAACCCGATGCGCCACATGTTTACGGTATAATCCCCATTGAATTGTTTCTCTGTTTTGTAAATTTCCCCATTGTGGGACAAATAAAGGATATCTTATCTTATCTTAGTGATCCTGTGCCATCTAGTGGTAATTATTAGCAGGAACCAATTGTAATGTAAAAGGGTTCTGCCCGGCAATAACTGGCACGTGCATTCGCCAACACGTACTCAGACAACTACTTTATGAGCTCTGCGCAGCTATTATGCAGTTAGTTAGTTTAGTGAGTTTAGTTTTATTTTCATTGCATAAAAGCCACATTGAAATTGCACATGCCCCCCCCGCCACACACACATAAAAACCACAAGAACATTCAGTAACCACACAGAATATATCATTTAAAATTGCTTTGATGAAAATGTATAAAGTGCAACCATCTTTGTGGGCAATAGGCACATTTACAAAATATTCATTTCCCCATGTATGTAATGTGCTGGTGACGATGATGTATGATGGTCATTCAGAGAGTGAACGGCTTTTTGAAAAAAACCTCTTGAGGAATCTGGTGGTGTTCCACGTGTTGGTGTACGACAGCCCTGAGAGCATCCCCAACTTTGAAGCGGTATTCGGAAGAATGACTGGGCGTGGAAGTGGAACATAGCCATCATGTGGTCCAAGACCAGAAACATGTATTTCTCTGATTGCACTGGTCATTTTTATAATCAAGTTGAAGCGGCTGCGCAAATGCTCATTTACTCCTATTCATGAGGTGAAAGATAGATCAGTTGTTCCGCTTCTGGCAAGAGAAGATACGCTGACAATGATTTTATGATCACAATATTCATTGTAATCAAGATAGGGATTTGTAGAATAATTAACTTCTTCCTGTGATTTACTACTTCCTTTATCGCTTTCTAATCACACCTATCTGTGGGGGGTTCCAGCGAACGTGTTTAGCATCATATAAGGAGTTGTTATCTTGAATGTTAAGTATTTGCTGGCGCCAGCCAGGAAGGACAGGCTGAGGGCAGGGGGAAACTAGTTGTTTGTCTCCCTACACATACCAACATTTATGACAACATCGGATGTACCGGATTTTGTTTAGAGCTCTTTTACATGGGGCGTGACTGTCGGCCTCTCATTTGCATAATGCTTCGTTTTATTGTTATGTACTTATTCGTTTAAGAGTGCTGTGAACAACGTCCAAATGATATGGAGCCCCGAATCAATTCATACTGAGTTGTGATGCTGGAATAAAGAGAAGAAAAGCGATGATGGAATACTAAGAGGACGTTGTAGTTTTGGGTTTTTAATTCCACTTTTAGAGAAATAAAAATACCTGTGTGTAAGGGATTGACAAATTACCAAAATCTCTTTGCACAATATATTTTTATGAGAGAAGTGAAGCTGTTATGTATAACATTTTTTAATTTTTTTTTTTTTTTTTTTTTTTTTTTTACTTGATCGCTACATGCTTGGTGCTCATGTGCCAAGTGGTCCAACATGAAACAATGGCGTACCATCACACTCTATAAACTGTTGCGAAGAAAGTGCTGAGTGAACTCTCTTTATTTATTCATACCACCCTGCAAGGAGGTTTAATTTTAAGCTTACGGTATATCACTTTGACCTTGACTTGAACAAAATTTTAGGGCTCTCATGTGACAGTCCTGGTGACACAATCTGAGAATCACTTGTGTGTATACACATTCAAAAGTAATGCAATCACAAAAAGATCATGAAAGCATCAAAAATAAATAAATAAATAAATGAATAAATTCAAACCCAGATTCGAACTCAAACATGTTTATTGAGGAAACAGGATGGTTTCTAATGCGCCTCTGTTGAGTTTAAATATGCTGCAGTCGATGTAAATAAATTTATATAACGCAACATACAATTTTACAAAAATTGTAAAAGTATTATTCCTGAATATTTATTTTACTTTCAACCACTCGACATGTTCAGTGGCATCAGTGCTATACATACACATATAGTTCTTATTTTTTTCTTTGTATTTTTGCCCTCTATGGACAATAAAAGCGGTATTGTGCTATGACCAAAACATAAATATAAATCTATATAAATAAAATATGAATTGCAATATTTCATATCACACAATTTTTATGCTTTGTCTTTGATTTAAAGATGACAATACGCAAAAATCTACAAAAATTGTAGAAATTGTAACACATGGGTTACAGTCGAAATAATATATATTTTTTAAATCTGCATTTGTGCTTTATTGCAATATTGTTTCAGTCAAGACTTTAATGGATCTTTTTTTGTTTTTAGAAATAAATGTTGGCAACTTCAAACAAACTAAAAAAGCCTTCACATATTATATTCTTACATAATTAATTCAAACTTCGTACTTGCGTGACTGCAACAGAGAATATCTTCAGGAATCTAATGTAGATCAATAAGTATGACAGTGACCAAGACAATATAGCAGACCCAAATTATTTAAATATTTAGTTGGGCAAAGATCATGGCCCACAAGTGAGTTGCGTAGTGGAGACATGATTAGAGTATCCGGCTAGTGTTACGCACTTGGGTCACATCTTAAGCCCCGTTCACACGGCAACGTTTGGTCCGACGCAGCTCCGAAACAAATCCAGTCGAGCATTCACACGTGCACATTTGCTCCGGTGTAGCTCCACTAAAGAGCTTATACCGGACCAAATTTGATCCACCTCAGGGAGGTGGTTTAAAAATTTGCTCCAGAGCAAATGCTCGTTTGCGACGCTACGCCGAAACAAATGTGCACGTGTGAACGCAGCTGGATTAAATTTGCTCCAGAGCAAAGTCTCGCTTGCGGGGGGAGTGGCCTCGCTACGCTCGCTACCAGATGCACGGAATCCAATCCCGGTCGACAGTGACGAGGGGGCCAGCGACACAGACGAAGCCTGGCCGTGCACCCCCGTTCCGGTAAAAGTGTCGGCGATTTAAGCGGTGAATACAGCGCTCACGATCAAGATGAGAATCGAGAAAGCAGTGACGTCAGCCGAGCCCGATTTGCAGGCCCGAGCCCGAAGCAAACCCGACATTTCATATTTTATTTGTGAGTATTTTTGGTAGAAAAAAACACAAGATTTCTTACGGTTAAAATAATCTACATATTTTTATGAACATGATCAATGCATTTGCACAACGAAATAACGGTGAAATACATAATAAGAGGCCAGACAAAGAGAGATCTCGATGCGCATTTGCTTAATTACGCAGAGAAATCCTGCGGCTTACTAGGCTTTAAATAGAATAATTTAAATCAAATAAATAGGTAAAGATATATGAAATTATTTCTATAGGATTGTTTAAACGAAATTAACATACGTGCCCACTGGTCGGGCCGGCCGCGCTCCTGTTTAGCAGTTAAATAGCAATTAAATTACAGCGCATTCTCTGTTTTATCCAAATTGTTTGTTTTAAAACAAGTATTCCTTAGTTTAGTATCCGCACATCGTTTTAGTGTACATTTCTTAAAACATATATTGTGGCAGTCATAAGGAGCACACACAATTGACTGTAAACACGTCTTTATTCCACGACTGCCAACAAGTGGATCTATTCTGAACAGGGACAGAATAGTGTCCACCATAATATTTATTAAAAGAAAAATAAATAAAAGTCCGCGAGAGAGAAGCCCGACCCGACCCGAACCTGTTTTACTTCCGCATTCCTGTCGTTTTGGTCCGCAGCAGACACTGCACGTGTGACCGCAAGTGGAGCTGCTCCGGCGCTGCGTCGGAGCTGTCACGCTCAGCGGCATTGCACGTGTGACCGCTCCACAAAATTTGCTCCGGTGTAAAATATATCGCAACAAAATATTTCGGTGCAGCGTCGGACCAAATGTGTGCCGTGTGAACAGGGCTATAGTATCAGATCCAATTTTAAAAACTGAGCAAACTCATCTGAGTAATGAAAGATAAGATACAGTTGATAGTGCTCTAAAACTGTATCTTAGCTCAGATTGGGGTGCACTTGGTGATGGTCACATTTCACACACTTCAAAGAGCGGCACACATTGGTTTCATCTCGAATTTCAAGAGACATCTGTGTTATCAGGTGAAAGATTGTGAATGATTGACACCATCTTGGCATTTCATTTTTGGGCCATATGTGCTTCAGCTCCACCTTGTGCATCAGTGTTGGCCATGCATCCTCTTAGATCCAATTCCAAATCACTTCCTTTCAGACCAGGATATGTGGAATATTCAATTTCTTCAACACACGGGGGCTCATCATCTTCAAAACAGCTGTGTGACAGACAGAGTTTATTTTTTTACATGGTCTCATCTGCTATAGATGTGGTATTACTGAATTATAAACCCCGAAGTATCCATTTTTACACCTAGTGATATAAATATGAAATAGATGACAATAACTGTATCCTGTTCAAACAATTAATTCGCTCAAGCTGGATATGTTCAAAACTAATAATTATGCACTTTCTTCCGAAAGTAATGTAACAAGGCATATTCCACAAAATAGGATGTATATGTACATACAGTATGTATTTATAGACTGTATGTATGTATGTATGAATGTGCGTATGTATGTATGTGCACAAACGTGCATGGATATGTACAAAAAAAACAAGATAAATACCAGCCAGCTGTCTATGAAGGAAGAACAAACAATCATCATGAAAGTCATTAACATGGACAACACGACAGACCAGTGGCGGTTCTGGGGGGGGGCAATGGGGGCCAGTGCCCCTGTAGCACTGATTCTGGCCCCCCCGTGG